ACGAGGCAAAGGTCTCAGGAGTGCAGGTTAAAGTAAACAGCACGACAGAATACACATAACGAGTGCTAGCAAAAACAACAGAAACATGCACACAAAGAGAAGATGCAGATGCATTCCTCTCCTTGATGGTATTAAACATTGTCAGCTAAGAAATATAGTCTTTGAGTGACTGAGGAATATGCTTAGATGATATTCATACATATAAACCACCAGACAAGTGGCAATGTGATGCCAATTACAGCACGAATTAAAGTCATAATAATTTGGTATAAAATGTCTTGTCTTGGCTAAGGAGCACTATGCAGAGAAATGTAGAGGTAGCATTACTGTAAAATTAGACCTGAAGTAAAAAACAACCGACTGTAGCATATGAAAGATCACAATAATAGTATCTCTCAGTCGCATGTAATGAATATAACCTGAAGATTACCACGACTTCCTGCACCATATGTAGCAACATCACACAGAGCAGCAAAGCATGTTCTTTAAAAAAGTACATTTTAGAGGACACCAGAGTTTACTTTTTTTAATTGATGTGAAACATAAGTCGCACTCCCTCCTCAGACATGAGCAAGCTGCTGCACATCATTATGTGTTCCTGCAGTGCTGTGAACCACCATAAGGTACCTCCATAGCACTGGTCGTGAGTATAAACGCAAGATGAGGGCCAAGTAGCATGAGGCACAATATATTCCCCTAGGCTGCTCAGGTACAAAAGCTACTGTTTCAAATTAATTTTCCAGATCACATTGCTCTGAATTACCCCATTGCACACACGTGAGTTTTCCCCACTATCAGCACTCCATATATCAGGTACCATATAGAAAGTGGAATCTGATCCATCATGTGCTCTGTACATACGTTCACAGCTACAAATACAGGACAAGCTGCATTTTAATCACACTGTTAATTAAGCAGCAATCTAAAAATGCCATGCAGAGTGGCATTTCAAACATCTGAAGGTTTTCCCTTCATGCTCATTGAATTATGAAGACATGTCAAAGAAATAACTGTCATCCTGACAATACACCCAGAATTGTTGTCCTTTCTCTAGTTCACCAGGTGCTCGCCGTTTTTTCCAGCATAGAAAGGCAGCACTGGGTGTGTTAGTGGCCATTTGAAGCATCAGACAGATTACTTCTCTGGCCTTGTAACTGGTGTGCCTGGCAATCTAAAAGAGAGTGCTTCATTCATTTCACTGATACCTTTGTAATCTACCTAGTCCCAAAGCTGGAAGATAGACCATGTCCATTCCTTGCAGCTGAGGATGTCTTTGAAAATGAACAATAAGTAAATCTCACTCTCTTTTCCCAACTGTTACTATTTCTCTGGGATGCAGGCATTTGCAATAGCATCCCCAGCCTTTGTCACACCCCCGGCATGCTACTTGAAGCCCAACCAGAGTGGGTGAGGAAGTTCACCACGAAGAGCTGAGCAGAACCTAAGGATTTTGAGACCCACTGGTGACTCCTGGTGCTTCGGCTAAAATAGCTCAAGAGAGGCCAATTTGCAGAGCCTGCTGGGCATCTGTGTGGTGAAAAATCAAGTCTCAAAAGGTTTCAAAGAGCTGCTTAACAATGGCCTGCAACTTTGCCACATTAGTCAGTATGGAAAAATCTTGGCCAGAGATGACAGCGAGGTCCTTTACTCCCACAGTGGGAGATGCAACAAGGAGCAGGCCTTTTCTTTACTCCTGTCAGGCCTCCTGAAGATGGACATTAATTGTCACGAGTGACAGGGATGGCTGCAGCAAGACGGAAGCATGGCTGTGCACCTAAACACTGTGCAGAGCAACAAGTCCTCCTCGGGGAGCTGCTCGCGGGGAGTTCGTTGGCCGACGAGCAAGAGGGAATAGCACTACACAGACAAAATGACCCAGCGAATGAAAGTTACGTACAAGGAACTAATAAAGCAATTTTTCAAGTGACTTCCTCATCAAGTAAGAAGGAGGACAACAGTGAAAGTGCATGAGGAGGATGAGAAGGGAAGCTTCTCTCTCCAAACAATAACAAACTGGAGAACCACCTTCTCTGTTTCTGCAGTTCTCAGCATTAAAAACCCCATTTAGTAACAGACATGTTCCAAGCAAAGCACTTATGGGTAGAAATCTTGCACTGTTTCTTCTCCTTCTGAGGTATAACAACGTTCACAAAATTAAATGGAACAAGAAAGCTTCATGCTGTAGATGCCCTTTATCAGCGCTACACATACATGCCAACAGGGTTATTACCCTAATCACAAACATCAACAACAAATTAGCCCTGTTTAAAATTCAATGGCAACAAAGGCAGAAATCCAATACATGCATTCTCTAATTACAGCCCATGTAATATATTCTGCCAGTCTCCTGTGAGCTTGTTTTGTGGATGCACACGCACTGCGCCTCTTGCCACTGAAAATCAGTTCAGTGTTCACTGCACAACTGTCTTCACTTCTGCCAAAATAATTTCTAGAATTTCCATTCACCATGCCTCAGAAAGGAAAGTGTTAGTGCCAATGAGAATGAATATGAGGTTTTGTCCTCTCTTACCCCTGCACACCTACACACTCAAATGAAAGGCACACAAACTGCATGCCTGTTCTCTCTAAAACCATTCCTTAGAAAATTGCAAGCTATTTCTTCCAGGTTAGACTTTGCAATGAAAAAGGTGAGAAAAATGACTAAGATGGTTCTGTACGTTTGCTTCAAGAAAAAAGCAGAATATCTTACACTTTACAAAATGTGAAAAATCAACTGATGCATCTCATGCTGCCCACAAGCTGCAAAATACTGTAGAAATAGCCTGTTTGGGGCTTGACTGAAGGATGGTCCTTGGTGGGGGCAATGTCATATAAAAGGCCATGCTGCTGCATTTGGAAAGGTTTTCTTAAGAGCCTAATATAACGAATTGTGCCTGCAGTTCATGTGTCCTGAATTTCCCTCTCCTCACATTCCTGAGAGTGTCCGAAGCCAAAGAGAATAATTTATTTCCAGGAAATGTGCTTCTTCGTACTGTTTGCTTTCCTCAATAATTCATACTACTCGGCACAACACAATCATCTTCATACCACTTAATGGCAGTATCACGATTGAGTTGTTATGAGAGTCGTTAAAAATAAAATAGAAATAGCTTCAGAAATTTAGAATTTCCTGAAAAGCAGAATATTTCAGCTACCTCCAATTATACCTAGGGCTGGGGGAAGCATGTCCAAGTTGACCCCCAGGAATTACCACTACCAGTTCCATGTTCACAGTGGGTTTGCTGGGAGGCTGCGAGCAGAGACTGATTACAGCACTCAGTCAAGAATAGGTGATGGTTCTGGTTTTACTTGAGTTAGACACAAAAGCAGATCACTTCGTATATCCAATTTATTCCATGTTTGGGGTTTTCAAGGATAAACACAAAGGAATCTACAAGATTAATTTCAAAGCATCCAGCAAGTAAATGCCTGGAGAGTGAGATTCATGTTGCCTAATGCAACATTAACAGTGGTTAAGAGCAAAGCGGTGAACTTAGTCTCACAAAAAATTAGAAGTTGCAGTTTCATATCAAACAGGGGTATTCATAAATCCAGACTGAATTGTTTTGCCTTTAAGAAAAAAAACAGAAGAAATAAAAATATGATAAAATCTAGACATTTAATGCACACAGTGTTTTGAAGTATTTTGTTTTGCAGTTTGAGAGAAGACAAACAATTACCCAAAGGAATCCTTCTGGATTATTGTTTTCCCCAAAATAAAGTGACACAAAATGTCTTTCGATAACCCTGAAAGATTTTTTCCCCAGCATACCAACAACATTAATCTTACATATAGTACCAATGACAGGAGTAGAAATAAAAAGGAACCAAAACTTCAAAGAATGCACGAATAAGGTATTTTCAGAAGTTTCAGTACCGGGCTAATGAGAATTTTATCATTAACTTCCCTGGGAACAGGATTAGGTCTAATACAAACACTTCCGAATATATCTAGCAGTGAGTAATGAAAGCAGGAGGAATACAAGATGATGTACACCCTGCAGGTAGAACTAGTGAATACCTAATAGGGTATTTTCCCATATTTCCCATACAGCAACTGTCAATGTATAATCTAAATTAATGAGTCTGCAGTCTCAAACTGTTTGGTTCATTTTCTGTCTCTTATAAGGAGCACAGGGAAGACTGCCAGGGTAGACTGAAACATGTGCATGACCTGCATGTTTTAGCATAACATGGGTATTAAAAACCTGTCACTCCCCTACTATGCTTTTCAGTGATATGTATGTTTAAGGAAGAGAAAATTCTGTACTATTGCAAAAATGATTACCAACATCTTTCCTGAAGAAGCTTCCACAACACAACTGAAGGAGGAATAGCTTGTAACTCTCTACAATTCACAAAAAAAACCCCTTCCACGTGATCTCTGACCTCTGACAAATTTAGTACAACCTCACTTTCATTTCTGCAATATGATTAATGGTGGATCTGAAATGCTGAATTGTGAAGCACAGCTTACCAACTATATTATTTACACTAAATAACAATTTTGAGATCATTTCAGATTTCCCACATTCCATTACTCTGCTGATGGGAAATCTTCTCATCAAGACGTATCCAACATTTAGATTTTAGAAGCATAGCAAAGGTACGAATACAGTAATTGATTTTATTTTCAAATGGCTCTGCAGATGACAGTTCCCAGTCCTGTTTGAAGCAAGTGACAAAGAGCCTAATGGCTATGGGAGAGGCAGAGCTGCTTAACAATTTCAGTGGGGTTTGGATCATTAACAGTAATTGAATGCAGGACTCCAGGCCAAGTTTTGCCCTCAAATCAGACCAATTAAGAGACTTGAGACATTCAACCAGAGGGACATTTTCATCTGTTAAGCCTGCCTGCGTTAGTTATGTAGCAGGATGTTTTTTTCACCTCCATCCAATGCATTTGAGAGGAAAACTTGCACTTATTGACCACTTCATCTGAAGATTAGAAAACAAAATATTTCAAACAAAACACGGTGTTGCATGTCTTTTGGTGTTACCTTGAATGCAGCTATGCAGTGTAGGCTGAGTAACATCATCACCAGAACCAGGAATACTGTGGCTAAGTTCCTCGCATCCCAGACAGACTCAATCAAAGGGATGCTGCCGACCTGCCAGTCGTAGCACAAGGTGATCGGTGCCAGCAGAAGCCATGCATTGAAGGCCAGAAGGTAGGAATAAGTTAGAAACCTAAAAAGAAAACAGGTAACGTAACACTTGGAATGACTGTCAACACATGAAACATTTTCCTTTGGCAATTACCACATACTCTATGGGAGGAAGGGAAAAAAATAACAAACCAAAAAAACCTCTCACATACAGGCAATACCATACCTCTCTGTCAATAAAGTGATGCTAAAATAGGTGAGGGGCACTTCAACAGATCATTTAAATAAATAACATAAGATCAATAATATTTACGCAGATTCTATGCACCAGCCTTTGGAAAACTAATGCATCTTCAACTCCCATTTGAATGTTAGATTTTTGAAGTGACTTTCTACCAGCTTCAACAATAAATGAACAATAACTAAGCAGGTACATACATATATTGAACTGTTACACAGTTTACTGCATCACTTCTGCAATACAAAATATCCCTCTAGCTGGGTTTAACTCACAATTTAGGATTTCTCCTACGTGCACAATATTAAGTAATTAAAGTCAGACCTCTCTGTCTTTTCTCTTTGCATCCCAGCACAGACAGAAAATACAGAAGAAAGGAGGCACAGAGTGATCCTTGGCTGATCCCATCACAGCTTATTAGGGCTGGTGGCAGCTTGCACGAGATGTGCCACAGAACTGACGGAGAAATAGGGAGCCTTTCCAATGGTTGTAATCTTCACTAATTGGTATTCTCAATAGACAGAAAATTAATGGGGAATGGAAATGGGGAACATGCTGCCCTCTGGACAGTACACAGGGCTTTCAGAAGGCTGAAAAAGAACACCAAATATGTGACTAGGCTAAAGAAAACAAGAAAAAAAATAAAATAAAACCAACATCCCCTCTCCTCCCAAGCCTTTTGCTGCTGGGCACCTACTTGCCCGAAAGTGCATACCCCTCAAACCACATTTACAAAAGTTCAAATACTTTTGTATGCAAGAGGCTGGAGATCATTCCAGCAATCATGAAGTCGATCAAGCAAAATTTCAAGAGCCTTAGAACAGACAAGCCCTTCCTTGATTCACAAATGGAAAAATCCACATTGTATACAGCACCAAAGATGGCAAATACTCAAAAAGAAATGAAACTATATTCTATTCTGCACAGGATTTCTTCCATCTGAGCCTGCTTTGGCTGTTGTTATCACACCCAGTTGCCATGGTACCTTAGCAGGTTTATTAAAATGATAACAAAGGATGCCCAAGAGATGTCAAGCCATGTAGACAGAAGATTGTTTCACTCACCACTTACAAACATGTCTCTTTAGGGTCAAAATGCAGTCCCTTACAACAGCACTTACAACATTATATTTTATTTGTGGCAGAAGGGGTAAGACACTGAAGCTAAATGTGACTACAGGCAGGCAGGATGGAAGTTCCCAGATGGGTGTCGGGCCAACACACAGGGATATAACAGGCCTAAATTTTTGTGAAAACATTTTTAAATAACCACAGTTAGGATATCAGTTTCTCATCCGAAAAACAAACATCTCCAGCAGCAGAGCAACCCAAAAGCGGGGAGGCTTACAGAGCTGGAATAATGTTTCACTGTAAACAGTGGAAAAGGCACATTCTCATTTCCCCACAAATCTTTCTAAGCTCCCAATTCTGATGGAAAATGGAATATTCCCACATTTTTAAGGCTTTCAGCCATTTGGTACATTTCTCTTCCATCTCCCCATTTTCCTCCCCTTCCCCACCCCGAGGTAGTAAACAAGGGGAAAAGTAAGAGAAAATCCATCTTCTCTCTTAACAGCAGCAGCGATTAAAAAGCCAGTTTCTATTTAAGAAAGCATCCCCCAAAAACATAATCTAATTTTACTCAAACTCTTCTTACATTTTCGATTGTTCACTATTTCTAAATAAACAAATATGTCTTTTTTAGTCACCAAGCCAATCTCTTCTGGCCCGCATTACAGAGAAACACAGTAACGCAAAATCTGGCGGAGCTTAACCACGCCAAGGCGCTCACTCTTAATGTTACGTGTGGCCTGGCCCCACCTCTGCTTGGCTGCAATACAAACCAGACTTCTGTATCAGCCTCAATGGCAGAGCTCAGAAAAGGCTGGCAGCATTTATTCACAGCTGCTTAGGTAAAAGCCAAACTGAGATCCATTTCTCGCTTTACTTTTAAAAGAGAAAGCATGTCCATTTAAGTCAATGCGCATAATGTCATGGCATATGATATTGCCACAAGTGTGTATATTAGACAGGATTTTCAGAAGCGTTGAGTAAGTTTTGCGCTTGATGCCTTAGGAGAGCCCAGTTTTTGGAGGGAGTGTCCTTTCACGCTCTGGCATATTAACACCTTCAATAAGCATCACAATATTCATGGAAGTTTGCACGCAAACCACAATGCACGCCAGAAACCCCTCCTCTACTTAGACTGTGCTGCTGGGTGGGAAGGAGCGAGACGACATTTGGGATCTTTGCAAGCTGCAGCATTGCAGTTAAAGGTGGACTAGTTGCTTTTCTGCATCTTCACTGATAAGGCAGGAGCTGATAAACTGTTACACAGCACAGAATAAATAAACACAGTTTGCTGCCATAACAAATTGAGTCAGTTTAACAAATTTTAAGAGGAATTCTGGGTTGCCAGATTAGAAGACATGCTCCAGGACACACTGATCAGGAGACGTTTGTAAAAAAGTCTCTCTTTCCATGCACTTGTGAGGTTTCCATTTTCCTTGGGAGCCATGTCCACAAATAGCTGCCAGAGGCAGGTCCCAGGGAGATGGACAATCATTCTGTTCCATTATGGCAATAATTAGTATCTTAAACATGCTCTTCCATAGCATATAACAGTTCATAGCGTGGAAATATTTTAAAGCCTGTGACAGTCGTTAACACCTATGTGTGGTCAACTGGTTTGCCTCTCCGTACATCCTACTGGAGAACCCTTGGCCATGTCTCTCATTGTCAAGCCGGAACACCCTCACTGAACATGCGTGTGTCATCAGCAGGCACAGAAGCAAGATCCAGGAGGGCACTGCCTGATTTTAGGAGGGGTTTGTAAGCTGCAAGAAAGCATTTAGCGAGCTCTGATCCAAGCAAAAGTTTGGATACGCTTTCAGCAGTGGTAACCTGTCCTTGAATGCGATGGATGGCTGTATGAAATAAAGCACTACAAACAATTGCTATTTTAGGTACTAGGAACAGAAAAATAACAGCTTGCTAATAATAGTTACTGACAATTCAGTGCTGCTTTTTGCTTATGGCTCTTGAAAGCACATGATACTCCTTTACATCCATGTGGCTCTCGTATCACAAGACTATCTAGGGAGAAAGCTAAACGCAGGAGACACTTTGGAAGAACCCTCTCACCAAAGCTGACATCTCAAGGAAATAATTTGCAAATTTTGAAAAGACTCAAAGATTCATGGAATCATTCCTGGAGCTAATTACATTTCAGCAGCCTACCTGCAAATGGCAACAAAAGTATTTTCTTTTAATTAGTTGACTAAGTAAATTACATTTTAAATTAATGATCTTCTCTATATTGCTGTTCATGTCTGCTGGAATTCCAAGAGAGAAAAATCCCTGCCTGTAACGTCTCCCGCTCTATCAGTAATCCCAGGCAAGAGAGAGTATTACTGGTGAGGTGACTGGAAGACTCTGCCTCTTAATTGGCAATCAGTTTTCCCCCCAGCTGGGTAACAACATTTCCATTACAGAAGAGCCATTTTTTTTTAGTTGCAAATTGAACATGGAAATCCAAGTTTCTGCAGGTATCAAGCGTTTCTTTTCACTTCTCAGCATCTCTGGCATGTTCAGAAAAACACAGCTCCTCCTGTAGGTAGCAGGTGTTGTCATGGCAATCCAGTTTGTTTAGTTTTAGATTTTTTAGTTTAAGTATACTGTTGCATGGTCTGTTTAAGATAAATACAGGATGACTCATATCTAGAAATTGTTGCAGAAAACAACTATCTGAACTGATTGCTTCTGCTGCAAAAATGAAAGTTAAGGTTACTACTTAAAGCCATAAACAATACAACAGAAAAATACTTGAGGGATTGTCTGTTACCCTTTGCTGTAATAGAGACTAACGAGCTTGGAAAAGCCCTAGTTTCAGCTCTGTCAAACCCAGGCAATCAAAGCACATGAGGATTGTGAGACCAGCTAAAAAAATACAAGATTTACAGAAATTTATGAGGAGTTTTATTTGCTTTCTGATTTTGGAGCATTTTAAGCTCCCAGGGACTGAGATTACAGATCTCTTTCTAACACTGTGCCACATGAGTGATCACAAAACTCAGACCGTGCCCCACCAAAGCTGCATAGAAAAGTGGGGGCCAGTGACCTTATTCTTTCTAGGTGCATACAGTGGTGCAACCTACCACCCACCCAGTTCTGGGACAACCCCTCCCACTCCTGACAACCAACCTTACCCCCAAAGGCTCAGCAGGGTACCCATCTGTAAGAGGAAGATTTTCCCACACTGGGGATTTTAGCAAGGCAAAGGCAAAATCTTCTGGCTTGGGAAAAAATGGACCTATCTAGAAGACAAGTGATAACAGTGCACTTAACTGGTACTTGGGAAAAGGGGGTGTATGAAGGGGGGGCATCTGAAACAGAAGAAGGAAGATAGTCATTGCAGTTTCAGAAGTCACAAACCTTGTTAATGGTCTTCTGAGAAGACAACCTTCACACTGCAAGAACTCAGGCAGGTTTCGGTCCACCATAAGGGTAAGAAGAGATCCTTTATTAGGGAAAAGGGCTTCTCACTTGCATTAACAGCTGAACCAATTTCAGCTCAAGGCTCTCTTCACCCTCTACAAAGCCCTAAACCCAAGTGTGTTTGATAAGCTGCTTCACAATAATGTCCTCCTAGGACACACGTGGCTGCAATTATAACCAGGTGGTGGTATTTTAAGGATATTGTCTTAAAATTGTATATATTTGCACTTCCCCTGGGGAACTGCTAGTCCAGTCATACCTTCCCACATGAGTTTATTTTCCTGCTCTGTATACTGTCAGCCCAAACATTATCTTTTCATAGCCTTAGAAGAGAAATTACACTATCCC